AGTTGTTGTACATGTTTCTTATACACAATAGGAGTCATGTTGATACTTACGATATATGGATATCGTTGTCTACATTATTCCAAATGTTACTAACATAATTGTCATCATGTGCGGGTATGAATGGCCATTCCATTTTGTCTTCGAAAAAATCAGTTGATTTAGGTTGTGTGCTTGTTTTCAAATTGAGCTTGACTTGAGGACATGTTAGTTTGTTATGTCTCTCACCATTGTGGAACCCACATCACCTAATTTTGCAATGTAACTTGTATAAATATACCGATTTAATAAGAAAATAGGTCAACATAATGTATCAACACTTTTTAAATTTGTGACGATACATTTTGTCTAGAATTAATGCCAAACTAGGTGCACGCATAAAGTCTCGATACATTTAAAATTGGATGGATCCTAAAAACATCGAAACCGATAGTTACAATGTAATAGGTAAATTTACAATGTAACCGATAGAAATATATCAGTTTTATGAGAGAATAGGTCTAAATAATGTATCGACACTTTTAAAATTTGAGTTGATACTTTTTGTCTAGAATGAATGCCCAAACAAGGTGCATGCATAAAGTGTCGATACATTTATAAAAAGTATTGATCCCAAAAACATCGAAACTCATACTTATAATGTAGTAGGTAATTCTACAATGTAACCGACCATGATTTACGGGAGACTATATTCTACAGATTGTTTGACATTTTTGTGATGATGTAGATGGAATATTAAACGATCTCGTAAGCCACAATCAAAATAGACTAAGAGAGGAGATGACAAAAGCTGCCATGAGACACAAGAATAACAAAAGGAAGCGATGATGTAAATGTAGGGGAAATTTTGTATAAGATTCATAATTTTGTATACGATTTATAATTTTGTATGTGAATGTAATTATGTATGAGATGATAAAAGTTATCAATAGGTTGTTGTACATGTTTCTTATACACAGTATGAGTCATGTTGATACTTACGATATATGGAAATCGTTGTCTGCATTATTCCAAATGTCACTAATATAATTGTTATCATGTGTTGGACTGAATGGCCATTCCAATCCGTCTTCAAAAAAATCAGTTGATGTAGATTGTGTGCTTGTATTCAAACTGAGCTTAACTTGAGGACATGTTAGTTTGTTATGTCCCTCACCGTTGCAGAACCCACATCGCCTAATTTTCTTCTCGAACTTGTTCTTTGGTACTTCTTTTCTCTTGCGTTGTTTTCGTTGAGGGTCGCAAACGTTGTTTACTACACTGCTCCGGTTGACTGAATCATTCAAACAAAATGAGTTTTCAAATTCTTCTCTTAGTATTTTCATCTCATCTGTTGCAGTTTTGAAAGACCCGTCTGTCTTTGATGCAATGTAGCATAACCTACTTGTCGTTACACGTAGAGCATCGAACCTTGCCATTTGCATTACTTCTGGAGGCACATTCAAGTCAACAAAATTGGGTGCAGAAGCCTTCGCATCCTTAGTACACCTACTTTAAATCAAAGAACCGAGCAAATATGTGTAATCCAAGTGCTTCAAAACGTGAAATTGATGGCGACATGAAAGCTCGACGGTCTCAAATTTTATACAAGAGTAATTTAGGGTTTCCCTACGAGAATCAAAACTAATTTCAAATGTCCTATTTTTTTCTTTGTACTTTGTCAAAATATAATTTTGACATTCATCTGATAAGGACTAAATCTTTTCCTGAATCCGGTACAATGTCTCCCGTTAAAGTTCTTCTTGGAACACACGGAAAGATTTGCGCGTATAAATCTCAGCAACATGGCTTTCAAGGTCAGCCAATTTTGTGATCTGGAAGGGCTTTGTCTGGGAAATTAAGTAATCTACTTTCAACTCATTCATACGCATTCTACTAATTCCATCTTCAATTACACGAACAACATCTAAATATGTCTTCTTGTGTTTCAGTGCAATCGCGAGTGAAGCATTCATAGACTCGTACCTTTGTGTTGAGCGAATATTGGAAAAGAAATGACCGGTTATATATGCTTGTGCCCATAAGTGCCGAGTATTTCCCTTCTCAATCACCCATGGATGCTTTTCGATGTTGAATTCTAAAACAACTGAATGCCATTGAATATCAAATTCGTCGGTTGTCCACCAGGAAGCCATGCATTTTGAGAATGCTGTTGTAAATTTTGGGTCACCAATGTTAGCTTGTGCATTGCGAAAAAGATGCCAAGAAGATAATCTGTTCTTAACATAAGGGATAACAGATTTGATAGCCCTCTGTATTGCCCTATCCCCATCGGTGACAACTGAAATAGGCGATTTATTCATCATGGCTTCTAAAATATTCTGTAGCACCCACTCGAAAGATTGAGACGTCTCGTCAGCGATTATGGCAGTAGCAAACACAAGTGTATTATAGTGATGATTGACACCTACAATAGACATAATTGGTAGATCATACAAATTATCTTTGTACGTTGTGTCGAACGCAATTACATCACCGAAGCATGTGTAATCTGATCTCGATGTAGAATCCGACCAAATAAAATTATGCAATACCCCTGATTTGTCTATCGAGTATGTCATAAAAAACTCGAGATCATCATGTTTCTTATAATCAAAGTAAGCAATAAGCTCTTTCACATCCCCGTCGACGATTTCCTTTGCTTTACCTCTTTGAAGTGCATTGTAGAGGTCTTTACGTGTAAATCTAACATTATGATAGCCCCTGTCTACTGCGTTAAATAGTTCATTACTTATGACATGCCAACACCGACTTCTTTCAATGCTATTATCTCATCGATATTAGCCTTACTTACAGCTCTATTAGAACGCATAAATGGTGTCATAGCAGGTGTGCACAATGCATGATTATGTTTCTGATAAGACTTACTTATAACCCATTTATCGTTTGTATTTATTCCTGTAATTACGACTATAGCCTTACATCCTGTTCTTGTGATTGGCGTATGAGCACGTTGATGATCAACAGTGTTGGCTTTTGATACTTGAAACCCTTCTCTGGAATAACAAAATTCTTGTGTCTTCACATTCCCTTTAATTTCAAGTCGTGTTGTTACCCGACGTGCACTAAGCCCATGTTCCCGTACGAATCCCTTGTAAAAGTACCAAGCTTGATCACTTGAAGAAAAGAGCTGACCAACCAATCTCTCAGATTCATCAACATTATGTAGTTCATGGCTTTCCTCGGTTGGCTTAACATTGTCTGCATCAGTATGATCCATGGCAAAAATTTTGTTGTGCAAGTTCAGTGGTCCCAACAGGAGTTGATGGAGATGTAAGTAAAGGTTCATTGAACAACATGTTTCAGTCGTGCTTTCAATAGGATGTGGTATTAGTAGTGGTAGTTGAAGGGTGGGTACAACATTAAATTCGCAGGACATATTTAGGTATGTACAATAACTACAAAATTCAATAACTTTAAAGTAATTGGTAAATTTACAATGTAGGTGGTAAAAATAGACTTTTTAATGATAAAATTCGTAAACACAAAGATTTGTTTCCAACATTTTGTCCAGTATGGTTCTCAAACATAAAGTTTCCAAAACAGTGTCGATACATTTATTGTAAGTATCGATCCTCAAAACATCGAAGCCAATTATTATAAAGTAATAGGTAAAATATAATGGTTTAATGAAAGAATAGGTAAACAAAAGTGTCGATACATTTTCTAAAAGTATCGATTCTAAAAACATCGAAACCAATAATTATAATGTAATAGGTAAATTTACAATGTAACCAGTATAAATATACCGATTTTATGAGAGAATAGGTCAACATAATGTATCGACACTTTTTAAATTTGTGTCGATACATTTTGTCCAGAATGAATGACAAACGGGGTGCACGCATAAAGTGTCGATACATTTATTAAAAGTATCGATCCCAAAAATATCGAAACCGATAATTACAATGTAATAGGTAAATTTACAATGTACCCGGTAGAAATATACCGGTTTTATGAGAAAATATGTCTACATAATGTATCGACACTCTTTAAGTTTGTGTCGATACTTTTTTCCAGAATGAATGCCCAACGAGGTGCACGCATAAAGTGTCGATACATTTAAAATTGTATCGATCCCACAAACATCGAAACCGAAAATTATAATGTAATAGGTAAATTTGCAATGTTACCGATATAAATATACCGGTTTAGTTAGAAAATATGTCAATATAAACGCTACTTATTACATTATATAAGTGCTACCTAATATGTTATTGTACTTGATAATATTTTCGGTTAAATGCCTATTTTATTATATAAGCGTTACCTAATATGTTATTATACTTGATAATATTTTCGGTTAAATGATATAACATAACCGGTCTAAATTTTAACCGATCACTTGTTTAACTATTCACGCCGTTTTTTAGCCGTTTTTTAACCACCACACAACAAAACTTCCCTAATTTTTAAGACTTAAGGTCGATTAGCTTAGTGAGCTCAATTTATAAGATTATTGTAAAGGTGCTATCAAGACGAGTGTGTACGATTTTGGATAAGTTAATAAGTGATAACAGTGCGCATTTGTGGATGGCAAACAAATACTGGATGGAGTTCTTGTTGCAAGTGAAACGATTCACACAATGGAATACAAAGGAGGTGATAATGGAGCTGTTGTTGTGAAGTTACTTTTTAAAAGCATATGACTGCGTGAGGTGGGTGTTTCTGTATATAGTTTTGTTAAAAATGAGATTCAGACCGAAATGGAGAAGATGGATATCAAAGTGCATTTCTTCGGCAAGGGTATCAGTTCTTGTTAATGGCTCGCCAGGTAGGGAGTTCAGAATGAAAATGGGTTGCGGCAAGGGGTCCTTTGTTCCCATTTTATTCATCATGGTCACAGAAGTGTTGCATCTTTTACTGAAATCGGCAAGAGGAGTGCAGTTTGATTGGGGGAATAAAAGTAGTCTCTAATCAATCAGTAACTCACCTCCAATTCGTGGATGATAAAGTACTCTTCCTTAAGAACGTAGAGAAAACAGTAAATAAATGTGAAGCAAATGCTGAGATGCTTTGAACTTAGTTCAGAGTTGAAGATAAAATTCAGAGAATCTTGTCTTGTTGGAGTGGGTATACAGTCGGATATGGCTGAGGTTCTGGCTCGGGTTTGCGAGTGCAGGGTAGGAAATTTACCTTTTTCGTACTTGGATATTCCTCTTAGAGTCGATCCCAGGAAAATGAGAATGTGGGAGCTGATTGTAGAAAGATTTCAGACGATGCTTTCGGGTTGGAAGAGTAGAACATTGTCATTTGCAGGAAGGGTGGTTCTCATCGGTTCTATCAGCCTTAACTTTGTACTTCATGTCGTTATTTGAGATTCCACAAACAGTGTTATAAGAAAATTAGAAGAGCATTCTTATGGGGTAGTGTCGATGGTAAGAGAAGGTTAGCTCGTGTTTGTTTGAACAGAGTATGTCTACCTCAGAATATTGGAGGTGAGGGCTCTATTAGAGAAATGGGGATGGCGGTACATGATTGATAAATAAGCTCTTTGGAGAAAGGTTATTAATGCTAAATATGGTAGTTTGCAACGGAGTTGGTTATTAAATACTACAAAACAGAGAAAATCATCGCTGATATGGAAAGGAATTATGAGTAATTGGGAAAGCGGTGATGTATCTAGATGGATGAATTTTGAGTCATTTCGATGACAGTTGGGCGATGGAAAAACAACCTTCTTTTGGTAAGATTGGTGGTGTGGAGATACACCTCGGCTATTTAGACTTTCCAGTGTGAAGGGGGTCTCGGTAACATCAATGATTGGTTGTGACGGATTCAATGTAGAGCAGTGGTGCTCTTTATTTATTAGACCATTATTTGAACGAGAGAAAAACCGTTGGAGAAAGCTCACTTATTGTTTGTAGGAATTAAATTGACTGAGTCTTCTCCAGATAGAATCAATTGGATACATAAAAAAGGTTGTCAATTCGCGGTTAAGAGGCTTTCGCAACTGATTATTAATGTACAGATTGATGACCCTTGTCTCGAGTTTGGAAGGTTATGGAAGTTGAAAATTCCTCCAAAAGTGAAGAGCTTCTTGTGGATGTTAAAGATAAATAGAATCCTGACAAAGGTTTTTCTTCACTCAAGGGGAGTGAGTGGTGAATCTCACAAGTGTAGCTGGTGTGATTCTGAATTGGAAGATAGTAATCGTCATTTTTTTTTTGTTGTCAGTTTATAAAGGATTTCTTGGTATTATTTTATAAGTGGTGGAATGTTAGTTGCCCCAATATTCTTTCTGTTTCAGAGTTTTACTTGTTTTGTTTTGAAAGTTCGCTTACAGGGGTCTCGGGGCACTGGTGGCTCATTTTAATAGCAGCTGCTGGCTTGCGCGTGATGATAAAGTTTTCAATGGGAAATCTTCGAACATTGATGATACCCTGTTTAACATTAAATCGCGGGCAATAATTTGGATCAAAGCTTTGCAGGTCGAGTGTTTGGTGAATTTTGATGGTTGGTGGGATAACTTTGTGCTGTATCCTTTTAATGCTCAAATCAAAACTTAAATTTGTACTCCCTATTGTCTCAGCGTGTAAGATTAAGTCTGTGTGGAATTGCTATCGATGATTTCTTAGGCTATGGAGGTTATTTGATTACGACAAAAGGGACAATTCGAGGACTTTTTGTTGGATCATAAACTTGATCCATTATGGGAGCCTAAACCCAAATCCAAACTAAATTGATGTCATTACTTACATCATTTAATTAAAGATGTCATTGCTTACATCATTTAATTAATGATGTCATTGCTTACATCAATTTAGTTAGGTGAGAGTTTAGATATTTGTTGAATTTGTAATGGTTTAAATTAGTTTATTGTGTGGTGTAAGATTGTTCTTGAGTAGTATAAATACCCCTTCCATTTTAGTTTTAAGCATCAAGAAAATTAAGAGCTTCTAAGTGAGTGAAGAAGCAAAGTCTTATAAGAGTGAGTTGTAGTTCTTGTTTTTGAGTGAGAGTACTCTTGTAATATTTGTTTGAGTTTCAATAAAAGTTTTTGTGTGAGTGTTATTTCCAACAAAGTGGCATCAGAGAGAGTTGGAAAGATCGAAGGTCTCGACGAGAGGAATACGACGCCGCCAGAATTTTCTCAATCTGAGTTCTGACGCACCGCCACGCACCGCCGGAAGACTGCTGCCAGAAAATCGAGTTGACTCACCGAGTTGAGCCGATTCAGCGAGTTGGAGCCCTTGACCGAGTTGTCCAAGTCCCTCCAAAGTTTTTTTTTTTTCATCGTTTCGGATTCATCCGTGCAATCGGATTTTACAAAATCTCATTATATTGAGAGATATGGCAATGGTATGGCACCATTCCAAGTTCCGACACTCAACAACACAACTACGACAATTGGAGTATCAAAATGAAGGCACTTCTTGGATCACAAGATGTGTGGGATATCATAGAGAAAGGCTATAATGAGCCTGCGGATGATGATATTTTTGCTACTCTTACACCAGATCAAAAGACAACTTTGAAGGATTCAAGAAAGAGAGACAAGAGGCTCTCTACCTCATCTATCAAGCATTAGATGATGATGGTTTTGAAAAGATTTCAATGCAAGCTCTAGCAAGGAAGCGTGGGAGAAGCTGCAAACCTCTTACAAAGGATCCGAGCAAGTGAAGAAGGTTCGTCTCCAAACATTAAGAGGTGAATTCGAATCCTTAACCATGAAAGCATCTGAGTCTATTTCAGATTATTTCTCAAGTAGTAGCTGTTTCTAATCAATTAAAAGAAATGGTGAAAAGTTAGACGATGTGAGGATAATAGAGAAGATACTCCGTTCGTTGGATCCCAAATTTGAGCACATCGTCGTGACGATTGAAGAAACTAAAGACTTGGAAGAAATGGATCGAACAGCTCCAAGGATCATTGCAAGCATACGAAGAAGCATAAAAGAAGCATGAGTTTACTGAGCAACTCCTCAAGCTGCAACTCAAGGATATGCATGAGAGCCAACGCAATGATAGACCAACGTGGCCAAGGCAGAGGTAGAGGCCATGGACGAGGTGGAAGTCGAGGTCGTGGACGAGGCTGGAATTACAACAATAACAATTCCAACAACAACTATGAGAAAGGAGAAGCTCAACACGAGGCCGTGGAAGAATTAATCCAAACTCAAAGTATGACAAATCTCAAATTCGATGTTATAATTGTCAAAAATTTTGGGCATTATGCTTCAGAATGTAGAGCTCCCAACAACAAAATTGAGGAGAAGGCCAATTACGTGGAGGAAAAGACAGATGGCAAAGAAACTCTTCTTCTAGCACGAAAGGAACTGATGGTGTCCAGCAAATTCCTGGTATCTTGACAGTGGTGCAAGCAATCACATTGTGGAAGAAAGACATGTTGTGGAGCTAGCGAGTCAGTAAGTGGAAATGTTTCGTTTGGAGATGATTCCACAATAGCAGTGAAAGGGAGAGGAACATTCTTATCCGTTTGAAAGATGGGAGACATCAATTATTTCAAATGTCTACTATGTGCCCATATGAAAAGTAACATTTAAGTTTAGGGCAACTGGTTAGAGAAAGGTATGATATTATATGAATAATTATAATCTTTCTATAAAATGATAAGAATAATTCATTGCTAAAGTGCCGATGTCAAAGAATAGAATGTTCTTGATCAACATACAAAATGATGTTGCAAAGTGCCTGAAAGCTTGCTACAAATGCATCATGGCTTTGGCATCTTCGATTTGGGCATCTCAATTTTGGAGGTCTAGCTATTATCTAAGAAGGAGATGGTGAAAGGACTACCTCACATCACCCATCCTGACCAACTCTGTGAAGGGTGTCTAGTCGGGAAACAATTCAGAAAAGCTTTCCAAAGGAGTCAGAGACAAGAGCTAAGAAGCCACTGAGCTCATCCATACCGATGTGTGTGGACCGATCAAGCCAAGCTCTCTCGGTACAATAACTATTTTCTTCTCTTCATTGATGATTTCAAGAAAAACCTGGTATATTTCTTGAAACAGAAGTCAGAAGTTTTTGAAGTCTTCAAGAAGTTCAAGCAGCAGTGGAGAAAGAAAGCGGTAGAAATATCAAGCCATGATCCGATCGAGGTGGAGAATTTACTTCAGGGAGTTTCAAGAGTTCTGTGAAGCAAATGGAATTCGACCAATGACAGTTCCTAGATCCCCCCAGCAAAATGGTGTGGCAGAAAGAAAGAATAGAACAATCCTCGACATGGCACGAAGCTGCTCAAAAGCAAGAAACTACCCAAAGAATTTGGGCGGAAGCATACGTGTGCATCTACTTGTCAAATCGTCTCCAACAAGAAGTGTATGGGGACACCGCAAGAGGCATGGAGTGGAAAAAGCCTGGCATTTCCCACTTGAGAACCTTTGGAAGTATAGCCCATGTTACGTACCAGACGAGAGAAGAACGAAGCTTGATGATAAAAGCGAGAGTTTTTATCTTCATCGGCTATGATGCTAATTCGAAGGGCTACAAGTTGTACAATCCAGACAATAGAAGTTGTGATAGTCGAGATGTGGTCTTCAACGAAGAAGGAGAATGGGATTTTAACTCTCATACAGATGACTTCAATTTCTTTCCTCAGTTTGAAGAAGATGAGCAGACAATGAGGGAGCAACTAGATGAATCTCAACAAGAGCTTGCAACTCCACCCACTTCACCAACATCAACCACTCAAGGAGACTCATCACCTTCATCATCGTCAGTGGGAGTCAAAGTGAAAGAGTTGTGCAACGCACAAGAAGCCTTAGAGATCTCTATGAGGTAACTGAACACAAGATAATCTTACATTATTTTGTCTGTTGCCGATTGTGAACCAGTGAGCTTTCAAGAAGCGGTACAAGAAAAAAAATGGAGAGATGGATGGACGAAGAAATCAAGGCCATCGAGAAGAATGACACATGGGAACTTACCTCACTTCCCAAGGGACATAGGCGATAGGTGTCAAATGGTGTACAAACAAAGCAAAACGCCAAAGGAGAGATTGAAAGGCACAAGGCGAGGCTAGTTGCTAAAGGCTATATCAAAAGGCTGGAATTGACTATGATGAGGTATTTGCTCCTGTTGCTCGATTGGGACTATCAGACATAAGGCGATAGGTGTCAAATGGGTGTACAAAACAAAGCAAAACGCCAAAGGAGAGATTGAAAGGCACAAGGCGAGGCTAGTTGCTAAAGGCTATAGTCAAAAGGCTGGAATTGACTATGATGAGGTATTTGCTCCTGTTGCTCGAGACTATCAGACTAATCATTTCTTTGGCAGCTCAAAACAAGTGGAAGACAACAGATGGATGTAAAGTCCGCCTTCCTAAATGGAGTTCTTGAAGAGGAACTTTACATTCAGAACCATCAGGCTATGAAGTCAAAGGGCATGAAGACAAGGTGTTGAAGTTGAAGAAGGCTCTTTACGGGCTAAACAAGCACCAAGGGCATGGAATAGCCGAATCGACAAGTACTTCCAAGAGAATGGCTTCAACAAATGTCCCTACGAGCATGCTCTATATATCAAGATCAAAGATGAAGATATTTTGATCGTGTGCCTCTACGTGGACGATTTGATCTTCACTGGAAGCAACCCAAGCATGTTTAATGAATTCAAGGATGTGATGATGAAAGAATTCGAGATGACAGACATGGGGCTCATGGCGTACTACCTTGGCATTGAAGTTAAGCAACAAAATGATGGAATTTTCATTTCACAGGAAAGCTATGCAAAGGAGATACTGAAGAAGTTCAAGATGGAGAACTGTAAGCCAATAAGCACACCGGCAGAATACGGGATCAAGATGACCAAACATGAAGAAGGCGAAAGTGTAGATCCAACATTCTTCAAAAGTTTGGTAGAAGTAACGCTATCTAACTTGCACGAGACCCGATATTCTTCACGCAGTTGGATTGGTTAGTCGCTACATGGAATCCCCAACAACCACCCATTTTAAAGCCGCAAAGAGAATTCTTCGCTATCTGAAAGGTACAATTGACTTTGGCTTGTTCTATTCAGTTTCTAATGATTACAAGCTTGTTTGTATATAGCGACAGTGATTGGGGTGGAGACATAGATAATCGAAGGAGCACTACTGGATTCGTATTTTTCATGGGAGATATTGCATTCACATGGATGTCAAAGAAACAACCGATTGTCACATTATCCACTTGTGAAGCGGAATATGTTGCTGCTACTCATGTGTCATGCAATTTGGCTTAGAATCTGAAATCTATTGAAGGAGATTGGTTTGATACAAGAAGAGCCTACCAAGGTTTGTCGACAACAAGTCAGCCATTGCCTTAGCAAAGAATCCAGTATTCCATGATCGAAGCAAGCACATTGATATTCGCTACCACTATATAAGGGAGTGTGTTGCAAGAAAAGATGTGGAAGTTGAATATGTGAAGTCACAAGATCAAGTTGCTGATATTTTTACCAAGCCACTGACCAGCGAAGACTTCTTAAGATTAAGGAACTACTAGGGGTCACGAGATCAAGTTTAAGGGAGGGTGTTGGATCATAAACTTGATCCATTATGGGAGCCT